TCTCTCTCTCTCTCTGTCAGTGTGATCAATTTCTTGACTTCCTCCTTTTGGAGTGGCTAGGCTGAATACCAGCACACAGGATATGCTTCGCAGTGCTCTCAGTTTCACAGCAGTAGCAGCAGCAGCAGCAGCCGTGAGGACGACGCGCTCTGCAGTCAAGATGAGTGCTGGGGATGTGGTCTGCACCGGCTGGCTCATTAAATCCCCCCCGGAGAAGAAACTAAAGAGATTTGTGAGTAGGAGTACACACCGGACGCTTGTTTATGTCCTCTGGCAGCAGTGGGGATCCCAGGTTGTGCTGCTGAGCCTTGTGTGTGTGTGTGTATGCGGGTGTGTGTGTGTGTGTGTATGTCAGTGTGTGTTACAATGTGGAATGATGATTTAAAAACATACTGTGGGTTTATATGCTTTTGTTAAACTGAGTTGTCATTCAATCTCCCTTATGTCACCATCCTCATTTCTATCATAACGCCTTACTTTAGCGTTCTGGCTTGTGGATGCACTTCACATTTGTAACAACAATGTATCCTGACAATAATAATGTGTGACAAACTGCAGATGTACTTCAGACAGAGATGGGATTTACTTCTACAGCAAATACATGTAATTGCCTACATGAACAGCATACAGCCGTCACTGTTTTGTGGTTGTTGGGGTCATGTGATAACACTGGGCTGGCCACGCACTCTGCTCTGTGTGTATGTGTTTGTGTAATGAGCATGTGTATTGTGAAACATGGGAAGTAATGTCAGAGACAGTCAGACACTTCAGACTTAAGTTGCAAGCAGAAATAGTCCAGCTTTATGATGGCTGTTTGCACTTCCTCTGTACGAATGGAGGAGGAGGAAGGCCATTTGTCAACAGCAGTGCAGGGAAAGGGTGGGTGGAGGTCTGCGTGCGCTCTGATGGGGTTTGGGGCGGGAAATAGAAACTTATTTTAGCACACTATGCAAATCCTGTTGATGCCAGAGAAAACAATAAATGCATGTTTTTTTTCTGGCTGTTGTACTGACAGGCGCACTATCTGCCCTATTATTCAAATGTAAAGTTAGGGACATATCATTATGGAAATTTAGGCTATCTTGGTCTGTGGGGTTATCAGCTGGAATGAAAATCTTCAGATGTCAGTGTATAGTGTTGTGGTGGTGTTCACAGAGGTGTTTGTTTGGTTGGTTGCTGTGCTGCTAAATTTGGCTGCAGCTCCTTGGTTTTACTTTGGTGCCTTGTTTATAAACAGTATCAGAACAATTCAGGCTCTGGCCTTTCTGACGCAGAACAAGGTCTGTTGCATTTCCACTTTCTGCCATGATAAATGTGCATTTAACGGTTATCTGTCGTGTCCAGTCCACTACAGTGTGTGGTGCCCTACTCATGGGTGTCTTGTATCGAGACATATACTTATATTGACTGCCTGAAAGCCAATAGAAATATTACATTGCACCTTTCACTGTGGCTGTTCTATTTGGTTTCATTGCTACTTTTGAGGAAATGTATGAGAAAAAAAAACTTCCATTCCCCAAGGTCACACAGGAAAGTACTGTATATAGACATCTAATATGTCATACTAAGCATCGTTGATAATATCATTTTGAGACTTTTGAGAGTGGATATTGGCGACATTTTAACCTACACATCACTGATAACATTTGGTCACAGCAGGAAAAGATGATGACTGATTTCTATTTAGCTGCTGGCTCGCTATTACACTTGTCTTGACTTACTGGGACAGAGACGTCATTAATGTTAGTACAAACAGTCTTCCCCTACTGCTATGAAAAGTCCAAATGTCTGCTGTGAAAAAGGCCTATTATGAGTGTTGTAAATATATACCACCTTGAGGGTTCATTACTGACCTTGGAGATTTCAAAAGAAAAAAAAAGAATAGAGTTTGAACTCATGGCCCACTTACCGTTACCAGCGTTTTCAACCCAAGTATAGTTCACATAATGGCAACTTAGCAAACATGATCCACTTAAGGCCATGAGATACCGTTATAAACTATAAAACTATTCAGCAAACCATGGGCTATGGTTTTTTTATTGTTATTGTTATGTTATCCACATTAGGGAACAAGGACGTGCACAAGGCTGGGCTAAAGTTGCCCGAGCAACAGCCCATTTTCCCTCTTTGGCTGAGCTGCCTATCTGGAGGGGGGGAAAGTTTTATTTTTGCTGTTGTGGCTGCATAAATACCGATAACTGCTAAAGTTAGACCAAATTAAATTACCATATAATCCAAACTTTTCTGACCCGCTGTGCATCACGTTGCGCAAATATATTGCCTTATATCATGCTATCACATGAACCAGTCTTAGCCAGCTGGCTAACACAAAGGCAGCAGGCTACATTCAAAACAAAGAAAATGAATGCAGCTTCTGCTGTTTATAACCAGTATTAAAATTAAATGCATTTTCTTACATTTCATTTGTCTTTAAAATTTAAAACTATGTACACATTTTGAATTGATTTATGTTTAGTTAAATGACCAGGTACATGTTACATGGCTTTTTTCAGGTCAGAGTAAACAGCCCCTTAAAATGTCTGTGCCCGTCAGCCTGCAGGTACCAGATAGAAAAGATCTGTTTTAATGAAAACAGTAAAACTTTCTGAAGTCTTTTTTTCTATCTTTGGATGAGCTTCTACATTCACCATCTACTTCTATTAGATGCACCTGGATATACAAAACAAATGAGTTTAGCTGAGCACAAACCTTTCCATATTCAAAACAAATGTCTAGTTACGGTTTCCTCTAAAATGTAGCAAGGATATTGCTAAGTGTGGTGGTGTGTCTAACCATTTCCTGGTATAAACACACATCACCCATTACCAACTGACTACTTGAGCAGGAGCAGATTGTATACATGCAGAAAAGTCTTCACACCACCAAAATACCAGGAGAGGCTTCACCCTGACTGTGTGCACAAAGCCACAAAACCAAGTGTGAACATGATATCTATAGCTTTGCTCTTTTCATGAGGTTGCTTTAATCATCACTGCTTTTAAATATGAAATATGACACCTACACGACTGGGCTGACTTGCACCCTTTAGGTAGTGGGAAGTTAAAAATAGCTGTTAACAGTTTCAGTATTCAGCTTTCAGTAAGTCCTCAGTAAAAGTATACCAACTGAGTACTGTATAAATACCTCTTTCGTTGTGTTAGACATTTTCTGCTAAATACAGTGAACTTCCTCTTCTCTGTACTTCTGGGAAATTTCAGTTGAGGTTCCGCTTACTGACCATATCAAAAGCAAAAAATTGAGTTTAAAGTTGCTAAGTTAGCTGTTGTGAGCGGGAGCTGTGATCTAATTCCCATGACTGGTCATGACTAATAAAATGGTGGTGGAAGGGGGAAAAGGGAGACTTTAACTGTTATCTGTTAGCAGAATCATGCAGTGCTGTGAATAATATAAGGATAAAGCTGAAACTTAAAAGCAACTCCATGATGGACTGTTTGCTCTTTTCTCCTGCAGGCGTGGAGGAAACGCTGGTTTGTGCTTCGAAGAGGTCGCATGAGCGGTAATCCTGATGTGCTGGAGTACTATCAAAATAAGAACTCCAAAAAGCCAATCCGTATCATTGACCTGAAGGAGTGTGAGGTCGAAATGCTGAATGGGCAGCTGAGGATAAAGCGAGATTTCCATGGGAAGCACCTCTTTGTGGTGAAGACCTCATCTCGCGTTTTTTACCTAGTGGCCAAAACTGAGGAGGAGATGAACAGCTGGATCAGTAGCATCAGTCAAATTTGCCAATTCGGGAGTCTGGAGGATGCAGGTAAATACAAAGAAAGAATTCAATTCTAAAGCTGCACTTGGCCAGACTTTTTAATTTAGTCTTAGTTCACTTGTTGCAATTCAGTAGATTCACCCAGAATCCACCGCAGCTGGCCCAGAAGAAATTGATGTTACTTGTCCCCACATAGGAAGTATCAAACTTTAGAATCAGGTCAATGTGGTCTGGATTTCACAGATTGGTATTGGGTATAAACAAAAGGTTGCAATTTACTGACAACTCACAAGATCTTTCAGCAAAGTGCTCCTATTTGATATGGTTAGATCTTGCCGCAAATACGTGCAGCTTTGACTGAGACAGTGTGTAAATCTACTGCACCCACAGGTGTGTCAATTACTACTTAGTGAACTCATGCTGTGCATGCTTCAACCCTGAATCATTTTCAGTTTTGATAAAGTTCCCAAACATTCTGAAGACATCAACATTTATAAAATGATGCACAAATCTGGATTATTCTACATTATTTTTAATCAGGAGGTTCAGTGTGGAGTGTTTTTTCCTCAATTTAAAAACCCCATAGGAAACATTTAAGGGAAAAATTTGGAATTTGGAAGATTTGGGGATGTAAATCGATCGATCAAGGCTCGTGGTTGGAGTGGTGGACTTTGAAACATTGACTAGAAATTTAAAAGTTTTAACGGAGGGTGCTTCCCACAATCTTTTGGGCCGATAAATTTCTCTATAACTGAGCTCCTAAACCCACACATAATCTCAAGTCATAACACTGTGGTTCAAAACCATTTGATACAAATCATTTCTTGTCTGCTTTCCACAGCAGCAACAGCAACAACAACAAGCCAATGTTGCATTATTTTACACAACTCTCCTGGAATGGAAATGACTTAAGATGACTGCTCCAGTCAAGCAATCTACATGGTTTAATGACTGGAAGACAAAGCGTGACCTCATATTTTATCATAAATCAGACCGTTGTCTGTGCGCAGAAGATGTTTCTAACAGCTCAAAACGTTGCAGTTGCTGCGTGCCTGTCATGCAGCCTGATGCTGTATTAGAGGAGATAACAGCAGATCAACAGGGAGCCGGGTCACATTCAAATTAACAGATAAATAATGAGAGTTTTGTATCATTTCCGTGAACGTGCTTTGGGGCTGCACAGAATTAAATGTCATCTTTTGTGGGTTGATTTTTTTGTATATCATTAATAAGTCTTGCTTTTTACTGTCTTCAACTGGCATGTGATTTGACCACTGTATATGTGTAAGGAGACTTGTCTGTTAGAACACTGTCATCTGTGTGAAAGAGATAGAGCAACGACGCAGAGTTGCTGATATGCTTTCCCTGCATGTTACCCTAAATCACATTTTGGTCTCAGAAAAACACACTCAAGTCATCGATTATAATGCAAAATTATATTCCACACACTAAACACTGTCAGACAGTTTGTTGCTGTAGTTTTTATAGAATTTTAGAATAAAGTTATGATGCTTTAATTCAGGGTTATTAGACAGTGTAGTTTAGCAGTAGATCCTGACTGGATCTCTAAAGAGTTCTGTGCGGTGGCACCTCATATCTTTTGCAAAGGAATATAAAAGGTTGTTCAATGCCCACAAACATCTTTTAAGGGTAGCAAGTGTTTCATGAGAACATGCAAAGATTTTTCCCCCACATGGTTCTGCAGGGAAAGCATTGACTCAGTGGCCTTGGGTGAAATGGAATGAGACAAATTTCTGAGCAAGGGCCAATCTGACTAAAAGATTGAAGAATATATAAACAAAAGAGGGAACAGGGCTCACACTTGTCTACTTTAAATGTGCCTGCAAAAAAAAAAAAAAAAATACCATTCCTCTTTTCAAATTCACCTGCTGTTTGTTGTAAATGTGAGTACAGGCTGGGAGAAACCTGGTGTGTGTTTGCATATAGGTTGCACGCTTTAGCTAGCATTTGGTGTCAGCATGATGGCAGTTTTCTTATTACTCCTTAGTGCTTGTAACATTTCAGAGACTACATGCTCTCTCTCCCTCTCTGCTTGGTCCCAACAGAGAGCTCAGAAGAAGGCTTTCCTCACACCCCCACCTCCCTTCAGCCGTCACCTGACAGCTCCGACAGAGTGTCCGTATCAAGCCAACTAGATTCCAGTCACCCACTGGACTACCTCTTTCTCTCGCAGTGTGAGACGGGGAGTGTAAGCACTAGTAGGTAGGTGCAATCTGAAAAACCTCAGACACATATGAAATCACGGCAATAGCTCATGTTTAACAAACGTTTTCATTTCCCCCCATTTTTGTAGACATGACAGCTTTTCAAACTCTGAGATCTCTCTGGAGCAGAAGTCATCAGATGATGCTGTCAAGGACGTTGTCCCCTCACCTCTTTACAACGATTCCTCTTCATCCTCCATCTCTCATGCTAGTCCCAGTCTAGCTCTTTTCCCCCAAGGACGGTTGACTAACCCTCCATTCAGCGCTCCGTGCACCTCCATGGCTTTACCGTCATCCTCGTCATCTCCACTACGTCACTGTGCCGCAAGTGTCTTCCAGTTTGACAAACCTTACTCTTCTGCGTCGTTTGATGCAACTAGTGACAGAGTAACACCTCCTCCACTGCCACCCAAGCCCAGTCACCCGTCAGAGCAGCTAAGTGACGAAGGACTTAACAGGTCAAGGCCAATGAGTGCACGCCATTTCTCAAGCCATGGTGCTTTATTTTCCCGGAGGACCTCTTTGTCAAGCCTGGACCATTTCAGAATGGGTATGTCCTCAATAGGAAGGTCACACAGAATGCATAATACAAAAACTGTGAAAGCTGGGCCCAACAAAATTAAACATAATCCTGGTGCTATTTTGACGGGGTAGCATACAGATTAATGTCGATGAAAGCTTATTGTAACGATTGAGAATGTAAACTAATGTTATCAATAATTCTTTTTTTTAAGGAGATGCTGAAAGTAGATTGATGCGGAACAGGAGGCAGAGTCTTAATTTGGTAAGATAATCATCAACAGCAGAAAAACACACATTCAAACAAGATCTTGAACTATTCGCTTTCTTGCTGAGAGTTAGCTGAGAAGATTGATAGCACTCAAATGTCTGTGCCATAAATTTAAAACTACAGCTAGCAGCTGCTACGCTGAGCTTAGCAAAAACACTACAAAACAATATATAACTCATTTGTTAAATCTGAAAAATAGGTACAGTAATTTCCTGGAGTTTCTGCTGGAGCTAACACTATAGATGGTTGGCTTAGAGGTGGTTAACTTAGCCTACCATACCTGGAGTTTTTGCTGGTTTCCTTGCAACCTCACGGTGATGACAAGACTCCAGGAAGTCACTGTGCCTGGCCAACAAATAGGCCAACACATAACCACAGAACCACGGCCACTTTTATTGTTTTGTTTTTTGCATTTTAAACAAATGTGATATAGTGTATTCATTAGGGAGCCTTAGTAGGCAGATTTTGTTACAGTTGGACAGACCCAGGGTAGCTGTTTCCACCCGTTTCCTGCCTTGTGCAAAGCTTAACTAACCAGCTGCCTGCTGTAGATTTATATAGACATCACAGTGGTATCGATCTACTCGTCTAACTCGTCTCCATTGTAGGATTTGAATATGTACTATTTTAGCACCCCACGTAGTAGCATAATTTCTCTACAGATAAAAACATCTACACACAGTGGCCTTAACAAATGTTCCACAAAATGACAGTATAGTGCACTCTGATCTCATGATCCTTTGTCTTTCGACAGCCTTGTTTAAATACAGTACAAGTTCAAACCTACCAGGATGAGTCATATGTCCCCATGGCTTCCCCTTCTCCCTCTGTCACCACCACTGAATGTGATGGTTACATCCCCATGAGCCCCAGGACTTTCAGTTTCCTCAATGCAAATAGCAATGCTGAGTCTTCCACCACTCTCAGCCCACTAGTGTGTCCACCTGGAGATGTTCCACCACCTCCAATTCACCGGCATCTCAAGCCTCGTTTGAGGAGAGGTGAGACTTGTAACAGCTATGGTTGGTTTAATGTTAAATGGCATTGTGTACAAAACTGAGCTTTTATTTCTCACTTGGCTGATGTTTTTGAGTATGTGCTCCTTGTTCAACTTGATCCTTGTCTGCATCGCTGTGCTAATGATATATAGCTGTAAATACCAGTACAGGATTCAGGCAGATATCAGATACACAGACTTGTTTTCTTACAGTGATCATAACACGTTTGAAAAGCTGGCCTTTCCATGGCAAATTACAACCAATTCTGTTACTTTGTCCTTTCTTGGTTCACAGCTCGACCCCCACCTCTTGACTTGAGAGGCCTCTCTACAATCACAGAATGTCCCACTCATCTACCTTTGAGCAGAGCAATGACTGAATCATGGTGAGAGAAAAAAGTATCTTTATCCACAAAGCCTGTCTGACTATATAGATGTGAGCTAAAAATTACCCTATAGAGAGATTTTTAACCCAGCATTTTGTGTGTTTTTCAACTTTGATTGATCTCTATTTACAAATATTAATGACCCTAAAAAAACTTTGACAGCTTCAGAAAATATGAATAACTAAAGAAATAAATATAATAAATATACTCACCCAACTCAAGGATGATATTCAGTTTCTCTGTTTCTATTTGTAAAACGTCATAGTTGGTTCCTAATCTGACATAAATTCAGACAGATTTTTGTTTTTATTGTGTGTTTTCAGCTTTTTACCTCTTGAAAGAAGACTTGAAAACACGATCATACCAAGAGATGAAGACACAAACTGCATTGCAATGGTAAAATTTCTGTTTACAGTATTGAAAACATTTTTTTTTTGTTTTTGTTTCTTTCAATGCACCAAAAAGATATAGTGCAATTTGACCTGCAAAGACCTGGACATTATCAATAATAATTTATGATTGGAAGTAGGGCTGATGGTAATATACTTTTAATGTAGCTTATTAGGTCATCCCTCCTCTTCCCCTCCCTTTGTCATGTATCATCCACTTTTCACTGATAACTGGCCCACAAAATGTAAATCTATGCATGATCATATTTTGATTATATTGCCGTGTTTGGGCAAATCTGCATGGCAACAAAACATAACACTGCAAAACTGTTTCAAACTTTAAATCACTGTTGACCACAAAAAAATGCATTTTCTAGATAATTCTGGACCTCACACCACTAGGTTTTATCTTAATTGTAGGATCATCTGTGAGTGGGAAAAAGTGCTCCAACCTCCACACAGCTAACTAAGAATGTTGGTGTGGAAAATGACGTGTGTTCCGAAAATATTTTGCTCAACAAATTGTAATCACGCTGGGGACCATTCAGGGTGTGTTGTACGAGTCTGTTCCTGGAATGGGTGAATATGTAATTAATAAGATAAGATAAGATAAGATATTCCTTTATTTGTCCCACAATGGGAAAATTCCGATCTTCCCAGAATTAAAGTTTTAAGAAAAGCATTTAATTCCTGTATCGGTGAGCTGGGCTTTCTTGCTGACATGCATCAAGTGGATGCACTGTGGAGTGAAGTAGCTTTTTCTAACTAACAATGCAGCACATGTAAAATTTGATTGACAACTAAAAACTGGAAAAGTTACTTTTTACGTATTTTAGATCATTTTAACCGGGTACACTGATGATTCAGCAAGGTCTTCATCTATTTCTTTCTCTGACAGGAGTCAATGCAACAGTCCTGTCTCACCTTTGATGGAGCGGTTCAATGCTGGGCGAGAAGATCCAACCTTGACTATTTGTCGCTGGATTTCAATTCCGCTTCCCCGTCTCCTGTGCAGAAAGTATGTTTTGATCAGATAAATGACATTGGCTTATTATTATCATAAAGAAAGATAAAATCCCCCATCTTTCAATGTGCAGACTCAATGTTTTGCACCATTGTGCAGCAGTAGACCAGTGATACCCAACTTGAGGTCCATGGGCCAAATCTAGCCCTTGATAGGCCAGGTGGCCAGATGTCCATTCTGTAAATCATAGAAATAAATTGTTTCACACTGGGAACTTTTTGATTGTTTATACCAATTAGTAAATGTTTAATAATGTCACTTGGCTGTTAAATAAACAAGTTGCATATTAACCTACACATGCTTAAATTGCTTAACAATACTATTCATTCTGTCCTTAGGGGCAGGTATGTTTATGGTTAATGAATCAATCCAAATCATTGATGTAAGGAAAGCATTTACAACTAAAATGCAGTTGCAGCCAATAAATGCTGTAAAATATCAGATTTATCTGTCATGCATCCTTGTACCAAGTTAATTTAGTTAAAAAGTTAAGTTAATAAGTTAGTATTCACATTGCTGTCTCCTCATCTCGTCCTCTCTATGTCTAGCAGAAGCCCTTTCTGTCTGATGAGAACAGAGTGGATTATGTGCAGGTGGATGAGAAGAAGACTCAGGCACTGCAAAACACCAAAATGGAGTGGACAGATGTCCGACAGTCAAAAACATAAATGGAATATAAATTATGAAAAAAATCAGGAACACTTGGTTTTCAGAAGACCAACAACAACACCAGCAAGGAGGACATAAATGAAGAGGACCAAAAACTATTTAAAAGCACTTTGAAAAACAGTATTAAAATAAAAGCACAACCGTAATTAAGCTGTTTGATGCTTGTTTGCGGGGTGGAAACACCAAATTGCACTGTAAAAAGTTAATTAACTCTCAGTAAATCTGTACTGTAAATAATCCCAGATTGTGCACTGTATCACAATGATTTTCTACTGTAGCATACGGTATTACCGAATTATGAAAAGGTTATCATATTGCTTACTTGTTAAAATTCAGTGAGACTTGCTGTAAATGTATGTATAGTAATTGTGACCGCAAAGAGGAAAATATTTCAATGCTAAAATGTTTTTTTTTAAATGTTTTTCTCCCCCGTTACGTATCATGAATGAAAAGGATCCATCCTGAGCTTTCTCCTTCTTCTAAACCTGAAGTGAAGTGCTCCGTCTGTGACCTTCATATTAAAGATGTTTTCACTTGTTTTGGTACTGTGATTACACCAAGAGATTGTGGAAACACCATTATCTCCTCTATATCCCCGCAAACCTTCTTGAGGTTTAAAAAACCTCTTGTTATACTCGCCATATCTTCCTTCTAGTTAAATATTACGGTCATGAGTCAATTCCCTTTACATCTTGTTGTTGCTGTTTTTTATTTATTGTGTTTTGGTTATTTATTTAAATATATTATGTTCTTTTTTTGTCTTGTGTATGTGTCTTCCCTGTTGCGTGTTCTTATGTCTATGTCCTGCTGCATATAAATAAAATTTATATTTTGAAAAAAAACTTCCTAAAGAAGTTTCTTCTTAATTCACAGATGACTGATATTTTTCATTACACCTCATCACGGTTCCCTTTCCCATGCAGTTTGCAGTCCTTCATGCTACACACAGAGAAAGAAAAGACAACACAGAAAACAATATATACAGTTATTTATATTGATATACAATGTGATTATGACAATGTGAGATAGATAGATAGATAGATAGACTTGGGCTTACCCAAGTTCTGTTTTAGCAATATAAGTATAGATATTTTCGGAATTGATAGACATGCGTTTTGAAGAGGGAACTCTATTCATTTTTTAAATATATAATGTATGTATAATATTAGCACTGCATTTTATTAAACATACAAATATGAGATGAAATATTATATTATTAGTAGTAGTATTATGCTGCTGATGCTTATTATTATTATAAGTGTAGTTATTTTAATTATTATTATTATTATTATTATTGTCATTATTATTGTCATTATTATTTTAGGTATGAATACTAATGTGTGTCAATTTTGTTTCCCCAAACAGAAAAAGTTTAGCCTTTTCTTAAAATGAAAACTAATCCCTCACATTCTCTTGCATAATTCTGAGTGCTCCTGCCTCTTACTGAATCTGTTTGACCAGTGGGGCTATCTCACCCGAGCAGCTGGAGGAAAAGTAGATAGCATGTCTGAGATTTTTTTGATTTACTTACTCCCCTCTGCAGGGAGGTCAGAGTTCAGAGTCAGCTACGGGCCAGTAGTCCTGAAGCTGGTGGGACTTCAGTGTCACCCTCAAGGACATTTTGGACGTATGTGCTTCTTGCCGAGTCCTCCAGTATTGAGGTCAGTAACCCTGCTCAGTGTGCCACCCTGCTGCCCAAAAGTCACCTCTGGAACACACCAGCAACAATGAATTTTAAAAAATCCGTAATTATCGTTCTGTCATTGATTTGAACAGTTTGCTTACTTGTTATT